AAATATACGCTGAGGGATATATATATATATATATCCCTCAGCGTATATTTGTGTATAATAAGGAGGGAGACAATAAAAAGAAGAAAAAAAGGAGAAACTTCTTTTTATCTATTTATTTTCTTCTTTTTATTTATTTATTTATTTATTTATTTCCCTCTATAATAAAAAAAAATATACGTAAATATATACATAAACGTATATATTTACGTAAATATATATTTACGTAAATATATACATAAATATATTTACGCAAATAAATAAACTTACGTATAAGTATAAATATTTATTTATTTATTTATTTATCTATTATTATATAAATAAAGATAAATAAATATAAATAAATATAAATAAATATAAATAAATATAAATAAATATAAGTAAATATAAATAAATATAAATATATAAATAATATAAATATAGGCGTAGGCATAGTATATTGGGGTATCTCTTTTTGTCTCCTTTTCTCTTTATTATAAAAGGAGACACTTTTAGTTATTTATATTTATTTATTTATTTATTTATTTTTTTTTTCTTCTTTTTTCTTCTTTTTTTCTTATTTACCCCTTACTGGGATTTAGGGACATATAAAGATACAAGGGGGCTAGGTAGCTAGCTAGCTAGCTAGCTAGCTAGCTGACTAGTTGCCTGTTGGTAAGGCTGACTAGCTAGCTAGCTAGCTAGCTAGCTAGCTAGCTAGCTGTTGTACTGTCTATCTCTGTGTGTGGCTAGCTGGCAAGCTAGCTAGCTGGCCAAGCGCTCCGTGTACCTCTATGGCCCGCTAGCTGTATGGCTAGCTAGCTAGCTAGCTAGCTAGCTAGCTAGCCGTGTAGCTAGCTGGCAGGATATCTACCTAAATAGATGGCTAGCTAGGAAGACAGCTAACTAAGTAGACAGCTAGCTGGCTAGCTAGCTAGCTAGCTAATTGTTGCGGATCTATAGGGGGATATTTACTGTCTCCTCTGCAGAGGAGACAAAAAGGAGACAAAAGGGAAACAAAAGGGAGACAAAAAGGAGACAAAAAGGAGACAAAAAGGAGACAAAAAAGGAGACACTTAGATAATAACTTATATTGCCTTTAATAAGGGAGGGATATATAATTAGTAATTACTAATGAATAAACCCTTAATAAATAAATAAAATAAATAAATAAATAAATAAATAAATAATAAATAAAAGAAGAATAATAAATAAATAAATAAATAATTATTAGTTAATTAATAATAAAAAAAAAAAACAATAAAAGGAGACAAAAGGGCAAAGTAAGAGAAGAAGGCTGCTTCGATGAGGAGCAGCTGTCTCGTCGTGCAGGGTTTAGGGTTTAGGGTTTAGGGTTTAGGGTTTAGGGTTTAGGTTTTTCTTTGCAAATAGTAAAGAATAAGAAATAAAAAGAAGAAGATAAATAGAAGGAGACAGAAAGAGGGAGAAAGAGACACAAAACAAGCGAAGGCCTCAGCAGCAGCAGCAGCAGCAGCAGCAGCAGCAGCACGGCGGCAGCAGCTGCAGCAGCACGGCAGCAGCAGCAGCAGCAGCAAGAGTATTTATATTTTTTTAATTATATAAAAAGGAGACAATTAATAAAAAAGAAAAGAAAGAAGATTTATAAAATAAAATAAAAAGGAGACAGCAGCAAGAGGAGACACAAATAGCTACAAGAAGAGACACTTGACCACCGGTTGCTGCTGCTGCTGCTGTTGCTGCTGCTGTTGCGGCTGCCGAAGAGACAGCTGTTGCTGTTGCTGCTGTTGCTGCGGCTGTTGCTGCCGCTGTCTCCTTTGTTGCCTTTCCTTCTTCTCTTTTATTTAGTATTAATAAATATAAATATATAAACTTATATTTAGGTGTATATACACCTGAATAATTGTAACATATATATATATCTACATTTGCTGCTGTTGCTGCTGCGGCCTCAATTGTTGCTGCTGCTGCTGCTGCTGCGGTTGTCTCCTTTTCTTATCTTTTTTGTCTCTTTTCTTCTCTCTTTGTTGTTAGATATATATATATATTTATATTTTGTTGTTGTTTTTTTCTTTGTTTTTATACCCTATAAACCCTAAAAAAATAAGGGTTTAGGGTTTAGGGTTTAGGGTTTAGGGTTTAGGGTTTATAGAGGACCGGTGGTGTATATAAAATGGCGCGAATAAGAGGAATAAGACCTTTTTCTTTTTTTTATGTTTTTTTTCTTTTTTATTTCTTTCTTTTATCTTCTTTATCTATAGAGGAGACACTACAAGGAATAAAGGAGACAAAAGGAGACACTTTTTTATATAAACAAGGAGCTGACTATACACCTGAATATGATGCCCTTAATGAGCTACAAGGATGGCTAGATACAGACACAGATACACCATCAGCAGCAGCAGCAACAGCAACAGCAGCAGCAGCAGAAGCAGCAGCAGCAGCAGACTCTTATGATTCACTGCAGCAGCAGCAGCAGCAGCAGCAAATAAATGATGGTGCTTCCCTCTTAGAGACAGAAGAGGAGACACCTGCTGAGTATGAAGATGAGGAGACACTCAGCAGCAGCAGCAGCAGCAGCAGCAGCAACTATGATGATGAGGAAGAGGAGGAAGAAGAAGGAGAAGAAGAAGAAGACGAAGAAAAAGGAGAAGGAAGTTTCTTAGAGGAGACAGCAGCAGAAGAAGAGGAGACAGGAGGAGCAGCAGCAGCAACAGGAGGAGCAGCAGCAGATGAGGATGAGGAGACAGCAGCAGCAGCAGGAGAAGAAGAAGAGGAAGAAGAAGAAGGAGAAGAAGAAGGAGAAGAAGAAGAAGAAGAAAGGGAGACACTTACAGGAGCTGCCTATACACCTCAAGGTGTATCTGCTTTGGAGACAACAGCAGCAGCAGCAGCAGCAGAAGGCGATGCAGCAGCAGTAGATGCAGCAGCAGCAGAGACAGCAGAAGAAGAGGAAGAAGAAGAGGAAGAAAAGGAGACAGCAGAAGAGGAAGAAGAAGAGACAGAAGCAGCAGCAGCAACAGCAGCAGCAGCAGCAATTGATCCATATTCATACATAGAAGGTGCAGCAAACATCAACAGCAGCAGCAGCAGCAGCAGCAGCAGCATGGGGTACAGCCAAAAGGAGACACTTTTACCAGGAGAAGAGGAGGAAGAAGAAGAAGAAGAAGAAATAAATAATTCTTTTATTGAGGAAAAGGAGACACAAGAAGAAGAAGAAGAAGGAGAAGAAGAAGAAGAAGAAGAAGGAGAGGAGGAAGAAGAAGAAGAAGGAGGAGGAGAAAAAGAAGGAGAGGAGGAGGAGGAGGAGGAAAAAGAGGAGACACCTGTCTCCTTTTTGCAGCTAACTGCAGCAGCAGCAGCAAAAAGAGAAATAAAAAAACATAATTATATAAATAAAGAAGAAGAAGGAGAAGAAGAAGAAAAAGAAGAAAAAAAAGAAGAAAAAAGGAGACACTTATTAAGTGTCTCCTCTGCTGCTGCTTTCTTAGGACCTGCTGATCAGACAGACACAGACAATACATTATTACAAGAAGCAGCAGGTAAATACAGCAGCAGCAGCAGCAGCAGCAAGTGCAGCAGCAGCAGCAAGTGCAGCAGCAGCAGCAAGCGCAACAGCAGCAGTAGTAGTAGCAGCAGCAGTAGATGTAGTAGCAGCAGCAATAGCAGCAGTGCTGTAGCAGCAGCAACACTAACAGCAGTAACAGCAAAAAGAGCAAGACCAGCAGCAGCAGCAGCAGCAGCAGCAGCAGCAGCAGCAGCAGCAGCAGCATAATTTGCATGCATGCATATATGTGTCTGTGTCTGCAGCAGGAGAAGAGCCAATTGGGTTAGATGAGGAGACAGCAGCAGCAAGTTTAGAGACAGGAGAGAGAGCAGCAACAGCAGCAGATGCAGCAGATGCAGCAGCAGCGGATGCAGCAGATGCAGCAGATGCAGCAGCAGCAGCAGCAGCAGAAGATGAATACAGAGGACCTGCAGATCCTTATCTTAAGTACGGAGGGACAACACAAGATGATGTACTACAAGAAGGAGACACAGCAGCAGCAGCAGCAGCAGCACGAGGAGGAGACCCAACTGCAGCAGAAGAAGAAGCAGCAGCAGCAGCAGCAGGAGAAGATAATCTAGAAGCAGCAGCAGAAGCAGCAGGAGCAGCAGCAGAAGATATGCCACTATTAACAGAGGAAGAAATAAATAAGGATATACAATCTTCTTTCCCTATTATTAAGGAGACACAGCCCCATGCTGTACAAGGTAAACCCTAAACCCTAAACCCTAAACCCTAAACCCTAATTTGTAAAATTATTTATTATTATATAATATATTTAATATAATTATATTTATTTATTTATTTTTATTTATTTATTTATTTATTTATTTATTTTTTTCTCCTTAGGTCGTCATGTTGAGCAAGACATAAGAATGACTGGTAAGACCTCTAGGGTTTAGGGTTTAGGGTTTAGGGTTTAGGGTTTGGGGTTTAGGGTTTGAGTACAAGACAAAGACTTCATTCTTTCTTTCTTTGTGTCTGTTGTGCTGCATCTGCAGAGGCTCTACGAACAGAAGGTAAGGGTTTAGGGTTTAGGGTTTAGTGTTTAGGGTTTAGGGTTTAGGGTTTAGGGTTTAGGTGTATATTTATTTATTATTTGTTGTGTGTGCAGGAAGAGGGACAAACCCTAATGATGCAAAGACAGCTGCTGTGTCTGCTGCTGTCTTGGTGTCTGCTTCTGTCTTGTCTTTATTATTTATTATATAAATATAATTATTTATTATTTATTTATATTTATTATTATTTATTTATTATTTATTATTTATTACACAAGACATGCCCCTGCAGCAGCAGCAGCAGCAGCAGCAGCAGAAACGTTCTGCAGCAGCAGCAGCAGGGGCAAAACAGCAGCAACAAATGCAGCAACAAAAGTAGCAACAACAGCAGCAACAGCTGCAGCAAGAGCAGCAGCTACTGCTCCAGCAGCAGCAGCAGCAGCAACAACAGCACCAGCAACAACAGAGAGTACAACAGCAACAGCAGCAGCAGCAACGGCAGCAGCAGCAGCAGCAACAACAACGAAAGCAGCAAGACATATATTATGTCTTATAAAAATAAATTTGTTTATTTAATGTCTTTTAGTTGTTACTAATTATATATATTCAGGTGTATATACACCTTAATTATATTATATATATAATTAATTAATTATATTTATATGTATGTATATGTATATATACGTATATTTATATATGTATACGTATATATATGCATATAAATATTTATATGGATACAATATATATACATATATATATATATATATAT